GGTAGGGTCCATGCCGCAAGAAACTTTTCGCCGTACTCTTTGAAAAACCCACAGTACCTAACCTACGATGTGACCTATAGCGACTATTTACTAAGTATATTTATATATTTTATTTGGTGTCATTTTTTGAGTCAGGATCTCACTCTGTTGCCCAGGCTGGAGTGCGGTGGCATGATCACGGCTCACTGCAGCCTCAAACTCTTGGGCTCAAGTGATCCTCCAGCCTCAGCCTCCCAAGTCTCTGGGACTACAGGCACATGCCACCACACCTAGCTAATTTTTTTTTTCATTTTTTTGTAGAGATGAGGTCTCACTATGTTGCCCAGGCTGATCTTGAACTCCTGGTCTCAGGCGATCCGCCCATCTGTGCCTTCCAAAGTGCTAGGATTACAGGCATGAACCACTGTGCCTGACCTATTTACTAAGTATGTCTACTAATATTATTTTATAAATAAATATTTATAAATATATGATTCATCTCCTCTTTGAAATGATCTCAACACTCAACACATTTGGAGTCTGCCCAGCTAGTACCTAACTCTGTTGGGTGGGGATTCTTTTTTATTTTTCAGTAGCTTTAAGGGGAATACTTAACTCTTGATACCGTTTGCTCATTGTTTTTCTGTATCAGCCTCATCTCCCTGGTTAGAATAGATATCATTTATAAATATAATTATAAGATTATTGATGACAGCGATAACGTCATACTGATGTGACTACCACAGTATCTGTTAGGGTGGTTAAAGCAAATGCTCAATAAATATTTAATTAGAAATAAACATGTCTTATCCCTTTATGTTCTGGAGTTTATGTCAGATACAAAAGAAGCCCTCTCTGCTTATAGGATTAAAAAATTGTAGTGTTGGCTGGACATAATGGCTCGTGCCTAGAATCCCAGCACTTTGGGAGGCAGAGGTGAGAGGATTCCTTAAGCCTAGGATTTCTGGACCAGCCTGGGCAACGTAGCAAGAACTTGTGTCTTTTTCAAAATTAAAAAAAAAAAATTCATGGTATTGACCTCAAAGGGGAAGTGTGTTTAGACAAGATCTTTGCAAAATGCAGCTTGAAGTTGGCAGTGGTTGGGCTGTCATCGTTATTGCGTCATTTTTTAAAAGTAGGAGTCACGGAAGCAAGCGATGTGTTCAGCCTTGGACAATTGCATCTTATGACCGGACTTTTTCATAAAAGGTAAATGCATTTACCACCTGCTTTTAATCTAGATGAAATAGTCATTCACGTCCCTCCCCCCCAGCAATGTCATCGAATTGGTGGTTTCTATCATGTTTTTCTTTTTATTTGGTGGGAGAGGGTTGTACTGGGATGGTTCTGTTGAGTTGATGGAATCTACGCCCATTACTAAGATTCTCCAGGGCAGGACGAAAGGTGAAAAAGTATATACAACACCGTTTCTATTTTAATTTATGCTCCTGTCTAATGTTTGATTATTGTTCTCAAAGGGAAATGCGTTTCCTGCTTTTCTTGGTCTAGATTTGTAAGAATCTTTTTCCCTGTGGCATTGTGTGATGCTTTCAGTCATCTGTGTGAAAGTTAGAGCTGGGTGGGCTGGCTTTTTTAAGGCAGTTGTGGTAACATTTTTGTAAATTCAGAGCGATTGGTATGAAGGTCAGAATTTTACAGACATATCCTCTTTCACCTCCCCAGTGATAAAGTGTATTGTGAGTTCATATTCTGCTTAGTGCCAACATATATGTAAATATTTTTAAAATATCGTGCCAATATTTAAAATATATATTTCATGTCTTAAATATTATTTATTTTATATATTAAAATATTATATTTTAAAAATCTATCAGTATCTTATATTCTGCAAAGAATATCATTGACTTATAAATTAGAAAAGAGAGGCCGGGCTCAGTGGCTCAGCCTGTAATCCCGGTACTTTGGGAGGCCGAAGTGAGTGGATTGCCTGAGCCCGTGGGTTCGAGATCAGCCCCAGCAACTTGGTAAGATCGCGTCTCCCCAATAAATCAAAAAATTAGCCAGGTGTGGTAGCCTGTAGTTCCGGCTATTTGGAAGGCTGAGGCAGAAGGATCGCAGGAGCCCACTGGGGTGGCCGTGAGTTTGTCACTGCACTCCAGCCTGGGCAACAGAGTAAGACTCCAACTCAGAAAACAAAAAGAAAAGAAAAGAGGTGCTGGGAACAGTGGCTCATGCCTCTAATCCTGGCATTTTGAGAGGTTGAGGCAGGAGGAATGCTTGAGCCCTGGAGCTCAAAACCAGCCTAGACAACATAGCAAGACCTCATCTCTACAAAAAAATCTAAAAGTCAGGTGGGTTGGTGCACACCTGTAGATCCAGTTACTCAGGAGTTTGAGGCACTGCTTACCCAATTTTCCTGCTGGTAACATTCTTATTACCCTACATTTTATAATCTAAGCATGTCTGGTCAGTTGAAAGATACTTGGTCATGTAGCTGCAACTGCTGTTATGACAGGCAGACGGGGATGAGGTACCCTGCTCCCAACCCTCCCCACATCCAAGGGCTTGGAAATCAATTTGAGAGCAGAACAATTAAAACGATAAATAAGCCAGGCGCAGTTGCTTACGTCTGTAATCCCAACATCTTGGGAGGCTGAGGTAAGAGGATTGCCTAAGCCCAGGGGTTCAAGACCAGCCGAGGCAACTTGGTGAGCTGTTGTCTCTACAATAAATCAGAAAAATTAGCTGGGCATGGTGGTGCATGCCTACGGTTCTAGCTACTTGGAAGACTGAGGCGGAAGGATCATCTAAACCCAGCAGGTCGAGGCTGAGGTGGTGGCCGTGAGCATGCACTCCAATCTGAGTGACAAAGGGAAACTGACTCAAAACAAACAAACAAAATAATAATAAAACAATAAATAATTGATGACATTTGTTGTCAAAATAAATGATCTTCAAAAATAGCGGCCACTACACTCCAGTCTGGGTGACAGAGTGAGACTCCAACTCAAAAAAAAAAATATATATATATAGCAGAAAGAGCAAAGACAAATATTTTTTCTGTGAGTTTGCCTAAATATAAAGTAAAATTGTGGCCTCCTAAAAAATAATCAGAGATGTATACAATGTTTTATGCACAAAATATATGTTTTATTATTTATGTAAATAAAAACGGAAACAATTATGTCAATAAGTGAGGAGCTGGTTAACCAAGTTGCAGTCTGTAGATATAATAGAAAGACCTATCTCCACTAAAAGCACCATTAAAAGTCTTTAGTGACATGAGAGAATGCATATGATAAAATGCTGAGTAAAAAGAAAAAAAGAAGATTAACCTCTTATATAAAGAAGTATCTCAGCTGGGTGCAGTGACTCACACCTGTAATTCCAGAACTTTGGAAGGCTGAGGTGAGAGGATTGCTTGAGCCCAGGAATTCAAGACCAGCCTGGGCTAAATAGTGAGACTTCATCTCTACAAAAATAAAATTAAGGCCAGGAGTAGTGGCTCATGCCTATAATCCCAGCACTTTGGGAGGCTGAGGTGAGAGGATTATCTGAGCCCAGGGGTTCGAGACCAGCCTGGACAACTTGGTGAACCCTCATCTCTACAAAAAATCAAGAAAAATTAGCTGGGTGTGGTGGTGCATGCCTGTAGTTTCAGCCTCTCGGGAGTCTAAGGTAGAGGGATCACCTGAACCCAGGAGATCAAGGCTGTGGTAGGTCGTGATCACACCACTACACTCTAGCCTGGGTGACACAGTGAGACAAAGAAAGAGAGAAAGAGAGAGGGAGAGAGGGAGAGAGAGCGAGAGAGGGACAGAGGTAATATTTCAACTAGTTTTGTTTTTTAAATGCATGGACATATGACTAAAAGGAAAGACACTAAAATATTAATAATGGGTAGTAGGAGTTTGGGTAATTTTACTTTTCTGCCTTTAGATACTTTATACTTTTGGTTAAAAATATAATAATAAAAGAGGGAAAATATAGAAGGTTTAACGTAACAAATAGAACCATAACCAAGACAACTGACCGAGAATATTGGCACACTTGAGAAGATGATATGTGAAAAGAAGTGTCTGACGAAGCCTAGAAAGAGGACCTCCAAGGGCAAGTTTGTCAGAGTTCACGTAGCAAAGCCAGGGAAGAGTGAAGCATCAGACCTGGATGACGGTCGATATTAAAATCATCCACTCATGTTTTCTCAAGCTTACTTCAGTTCAGTGCTTACCAAGCAAAATTATGGTTCTATCTGGTTTTGTTGAGTTGGAGTCTCACTCTGTTGCCCAGGCTAGAGTGCAGTGGCTCACTCACGGCTACCTCAGCCTCCATCTGCTGGGCTCAGGCAATCCAAGCAGCTGGAACTACAGGCACACGCCACCATATCCAGCTAATTTTTGGGTTTATTGTAGAGATGAGGTCTTGCCAAGTTGCCCAGGTTGGTCTCGAACCCATGGACTCTCATCTCGGCCTCCCAAAGTGCTGGGATTATAGGTGTGAGCCACTGCCTCCGACAAAATTATGGTTTTAGTTAACATTCTTATACATTCTGATAAGTAGAAAGCACAGGTTATACCAACATGTTTCTTATGTGATTTCAGTTCATACATCAGTCTCCTGTGAGTTGGTTGGTGGGATTCAGTTGTGGAGTAATCCATCAATTCTCGGTGCCCCAATAAGATCACATTCCTGGACCTGTAAACCTGAAGGCTGGCTGTTGAGCTGCAGTCACCACACCAGGTAATGTCTGTGACCACTGATGGCATCAGAACACCCACATCTTACCTCCCTTTCCTCGTGACTGCTCTCATGTGACAATCACAGCCTCGGAGTTGGTCCCTCCGTGGCTTCTCCTTTCCAAGCTTTCTAAGAGACATCTTTTTTATTCTCAGGGAAAGACAGCATGGGAGGAATTAGCTCCACACTTAAACCTGACGATGGTGAGTTCAGGACAGGGACGATCACCTGCCTCACTGCTGAGTTAAAAGAACTAAAAATTGTGTGGAAGGGCTGTGATGGGATGACACTTGCTAAAGGTGGGAGAATCAGAATTTACCAAGATGCTAAATGGAAAGCAAGAGGTGGGTGAAAAGGGGAATGAGAGAGAAGCGCCTGGCTCTCCACTCCTGAGTACAGGGGGTCTCACCATTCGACCAGCTGGGCTGTTACTAGAATCCAGGTCACTTTCCTCACTGTGTGTGTTGTAGGTGCTGGGAACACCACCGTGCTGTGTGAGGCTAGGCACTGTTAATACCTGCCCTGCAGACAAACGGGCAGGCAAAAAAAAAAAAAAAAAAAAGACAGCAGTTCAAGGTCAAATTCCCAAGGACTTTGGGAAATACTCATTCTGGCGACTCTCTGCTTAGGTCAGAGGGAGCATATCTCCCAGGGGTTCCTACTAGTGTCTCCGAGCTGGGAGACACATGAGATGTTTTCGTTGACCAAAAAGGAGGACATCTTTCATTTGTGCAACTGGCTGTTTTTTAAGTTCCAGTTCTTTTTTTTAATTTTTAGTCAGAGCCTCACGCTGTTGCCCAGACCGAGTGCAGAGGCTCGATCACACCTCACCACAGCCTTGACCTCCTGGGCTCGGGTGATCCTACTGCCTCAGCCTCCTGAATGGCTGGGACTACAGGCGTGTGACGCCTCACCCCGCTAATTTTTTAGTTTTTTTGTAGAGGTGAGAGCTCACTATTTGCCCAGACTGGTCTCGAACTCCTGGGCTCAAGCGATCTTCCCGCCTCGGCCTCCCAAAATGCTGGGATTACAGGTGTGAGCTACCTGGCCTAATTTTCATTTTAAAGGGCTCACAACCTAAGAAGAGTGTCCTCCCCTCTTGTAGAGCTGCAGCTTCCTTGTTCACCTCCACCGGCTGCCTGAGTAGGGTGGAGCTCCGGTGCTTAAATAGGGAGTCTGCCTGAGGTGTGGCAGATCGCCCAATCCCTTTCTTTTTTTTTGAGTCGGAGTCTCACTCTGTCGCCCAGACCGGAGTGCAGTGGCCACTCCCGGCCACCGCAGCCTCGACCCGCTGGGTTCCGGCGATCCTTCTGCCTCAGCCTTCCGAGTAGCTGGAACCACAGGTGCACGCTACCACGCCCGGCTGATTTTTTTTTAATTTATTGTAGAGATGAGGTCTCGCTGCCCAGGCGGGTCTCGAACCCGCAGGCTCAGGCAATCCACTCAGCTCAGCCTCCCAAAGGCGCGGGATGACAGGCTGAGCCACCGAGCCAACCCCTTTCATGTTCTTTTCTAGACAGAAGATGCAACCTCTCCATGGTGGCCCCAGTGATGACTTCTGCACCTCCCTCTGCGCCCGGTCTCCCTAGCCGCCTTAAGTAAATGGGCATTTTTCCCTCTGTTTCACCTGTACCACATGACATTTTGATATTGTGTTGGCAGCTTTGGTAAGGAAGTCTGGGGAGAAGGGACCAGAAACAATAAAAGAATAAAAGAACCAAGTTAGTTTGTGATTGGAGAAGTATGGCCCTATTTTTTTTTTGAGTTGGAGACTCACTCTGTTGCCCAGGCTGGAATGCAGTGGTACAATCACGGCTCACCGCAGTCTCGACCTCCTGGGCTCAGGGGATCCTTCCTCCTCAGCGTCCGATCATCTGGGACCACAGGTGCTCACCACCATGCCCGGCTAATTTTTTTTTTTTTTTTTTTTTTTTTAATGTTTGGTACAGATGAGGTCTCCTTATGTTGCCTAGGCTGGTCCTGGGCTCATGCAATCTTCCCCTTTCGGCCTCCCACAGTGCTGAGACTGCAGGTGTGAGCCACCTTGCCTAACCAGGAATATGAATTTTAACTTGGTGTCCCCCCAGGTTTCTGGAGACCATGGATCCCCTAAGCTTAGAGATCACATGGAACGTTGTGTGAGCTGGGGGAGGGGGGAGGGAGAGAGGCCACAGCTTTCACTGAGGCTCAAGTGGATCTGGAACTCAAAAGAAAACGTGGAAAACCAGCGGGTGAGCGTGTAAGTCCACTCACCAGTACAAAAGCCTTTCGGGGGCCCACGCATAGGCCGGTAAGGTTCCACTCAGGACTTTCGGGAGGGTCCTCCAAAGCCCAGTTGTTTATCTCCTTTTCTTGGCTAAAACAGCAAAGAACACCTCTTGGCCTTTTTTACTGGGGTTCTGCTGACGCTGCTGCTGACGGCCCTTGTCCTCCTCATCCTCAAGTGCTGCAGGAAGCGTAAGCGGTCTCTGGGGGGCGGAGGACAGCCCTTCTTCCGCCGCCATTGAGACTAGTTAGCTTGGATAACCGGAGGAGGTGGGGCGGCCCAGTTGGATAAGAACTGCAGGGTCCGCCCTCTGCAGACTCCAGTTCCTTCCTTTCTCTTCTTCGGTGCCCTCCCCATACCTCAAAGCCTTTGTGCCCTCATCTCTTCACCCCAGACTGAAGGGAGGGGCTCCCATTCCTCTAGGCCTGTTGCTGACACTTATCCCCCTTCTGTCTGGCCCTGGGGCAGGTCACTCTAGTTTCCAGGCCCAGCAGCCTCACTGGGACCCTCCAGCCAAGGTAAGATGGCCACGCTGTCTTGGGGACACTGGAAGGATTTCCCTCCGCACCCCGCACTCTCGCCTAGGTTGGTGGCAGCAGTTTCTGGACACAGGGCGAGGAATTCTTCCAAGAGTTCTGATCGCTTTGCGTCTCCTCTGACTTACGGTTTGGGGTGGTTTCTAAAGAGGCGCCTTTTGCTCCAGGCTGAGCTCACTCATTCCTCCTCTTTCTATCCCTGTAGCTTTCACCCATCCCGGGGGAGTCACTCACCTACGCCAGCATGACTTTCAAACCCTCAGAAGAAAAGGGCGGTGGCTTGACTGAGAACCATTCAGCGGACTTCGACCCGGTTGTCTATTCTCAAATTAAAGCCACAAACTCACCCTACCCTCCCAGTGAAATCTGAATCCACCTCCTCCAGTCTCAGCTCCATCCTCATGTATCGCTTTCCCTCGTGTACAAATTTTGGAACACAACCTGCGTGGAACTGCAGTCAGAGTTGTTTAGACATGACCTGGCAGTGCTGCCCAGCAGTTCTGAAGACCAATGGTCAGCAAAAAGATTGCTGGCACTTCCTCAGAGCACAGTGTGTTCACCTGGTGCCTTGGATCAACTTGGGGTAAATCAACAGCATGAGTAATTACCAAGAATTTCAAATAAAGAACAATCCTCTACCATGCTGGTGACTCCTTCATGTACTTGTCTGTCTCTGCCACCCTCTCCAGAGAGCAGGACCAAAAAGTCCAGAGTTCATTCACAGCCAATAAAACCAGCAGAGGTGATGGAACTCTGAAACAAGCTCGGGCTTGATTGGAGCGCAGGTCTGAAACTCTGCCACTAACTAGCTGCATTTATTTGGACAAGCTTGTTACACTTTTTAAGTCTCAAGACCTTCATTTTGAAAACAGATAATAACACCACTAATACTTAGAGTTAGTGTGAGGATTAAATGAGATATCATATACGTAAGCACCGTATACATACACAAACACAAAGTCCCTATTGCATAAAGCAAGAGTCAGATGTGGATTTCTACTGTTTTGCTATAGCATAAGAGATGTGCATAACAATATTTTTCTTTCTTTTTTTTTTTTTTTTTTGCGTTGGAGTCTTGCTCGGCTACTTGGAAGGCTGAGGCAGAAGGATCACCTGAGCCCAGCTGGTAGAGGCTGCAGTGGCCATAAGCATACCGCTGCACTCCAGCCTGGGTGACAGAGTGAGACTCCAACTCAAAAAAAAAAATTTCTGTCACCCAGACTGGAGTGCAGTGGCCGCTCCCGGCCACCGCAGCCTCGACCTGCTGGGCTCCGGCGATCCTTCCACCTCAGCCTTCCAAGTTGCTGGCTCTACGGGCGTGTGCTACCACGCCCGGCTAATTTTTGATATATTGTAGAGATGAGGTCTCGCCAACTTGCCCAGACAGATCCTGAACCCGTGGGCTCAGGCAGTCCACTCACCTCAGCCTCCCAAAGTGTGGGATTACAGGCTGAGCCACCAAGCTCGGCTAGAATTATTATTTTTTAAATCTATTTTTTCTTTAATTTTTTATTTTATTTATTGATTGAGTTGGAGTCTCACTCTGTCACCCAGGCTGGAGTGCAGTGGCCCAATCATGGCTCGCCCCTCGATCTCCTAGGCTCAGGCAATCCTTCGTCTCAGCTACCCCAGTAGCCAGACTACAGGGCTATGCCATCATACCTGGATTTCCTTTTTTTTTTTGAGTCAGAGTCTCACTATCACCCAGGCTGGAGTGCAGGGGCATGCTCACAGCCACTGCAGCCTTGACTAGCTAGGCTCAGGCGATCCTCCTGCCTCAGCCTTCCAAGTAGCTGGAAGTACAGGCACGCGCCACCACGCCTGACTAATTTTTTTTATTTTATTATAGAGATGAAGTCTCACCAAGTTGCCCAGACTGGTCTCGAACCTGTGGACTCAGGCTATCCTCTCACCTTGGCCTCCTAAAGTGTTGGATTACAGGCATGAGTCACCGTACCCGGCCTTGAATAGAATTAAAAGACCAGAAATAGACCAAAATGCATAGGGAAATTTGAAGTAGAATAAAGATAGCATATCAAATCATTTGGGAGAAATGGTTTACTCAGTAAATGATGTTAAAGTAACCATGTAGATAAAAATAGACTAGGATCCATATCTCAGTTCTTTTAGCCAAATAAATTCCTATCATATCAAAAATTTAATTGCAGGCTGGGTGTGGTGGCTCAAGCCTATAATCCCAGCACTTTGGGAGGTCGAGGCAAGAGGATTGCCTGAGTCCAGGGGTTTGAGACCAGACTGGGCAACTTGGTGAGATTTCATTCCTACAGTAAATTTAAAAAATTAGCTGGGCATGGTGGCCCACACCTGTAGTTCCAGCTACTTGGAAGACTGAGGCAGAAGGATCACCTGAGTCCAGCAGGTAGAGGCTGCGGTGGCAGTGAGTGTGCCACTGCACTCCAGCCAGAGTGACAGAGTGAGACTCCAACTAAAAAAAAA